TCAGAGGCAATGAATGTTTTTTTCTCGATGATCCCAATCATCCCCTTTTCAATGGTCCAAAGTGAGTTTCATTGTCTTTTTTGGGGCTAAAGGATTTTTGTGAAAAATATCACCCCATCTAAGATGGTGACCTTGACTAACAAGTTGTTACTGTGACTAAGGATGTGTCGTGACTTTTTTTTGGCCTGTCCATGGGTTTCGTAAACAGTTCCCAGGATGTCATAGAATATAGATAGCTCCCAGGAAATTGGAAATAGTTCCCAGTATTCTATCAATTGATCCTGGGTAGCTATGGCCACAAACACATAAAGAGGCCAAAACAATCACCAATATATGTCCATATATGGGTTTGTCTGAAAATAGTGTACCCCTACACCCAATGGTTAATGATCATTATCCCTACTAAATGGCTATAATTGGGAGTATACCCCATTTTCAGACATACCCATATGTCAATACTACTCGCACCTGAGATGACACCCAAGATTTCAGAGGGGCACGCACCAACCAGGTGGCATTGTTCATTTGGCCAGACACTTGCCGACAGGGCCACTGGAGTTTGGGTATCCGCTGCTCCGGTTAGTGTTTGCTGTTGTGGCTGCCTGTTTCTACAATATCAAGATCACTAGTATTAATGTAACATGATGTGACTACAAAACACTTTCATTAAATTACTCGTTCTTATTCTATTGATATCACCGAGATGCGGGGAAACATATGCCATCCATGGACGCTGCGTTTTTCCAGATGCCTGTCCCCCAACACTTGGGAGTGCATTCCAGTATTTGTAAGGGTACAATTATCGATGATCCACATAAGTGTGGATATTCCATATACGTGTACAATATATATATATAATTATTTATATAATATACACATATACATTTTGCATGTCTGGATGTACACATGCATGCATGCATGGAACATGCATGCATACATACATGATCATATGTGGTTAAGCCATTGGTAACTGGAATGCACATCTCAGCAACCATGGTACCCACTGCGATGGCGGCCACTGTTCCCAAGGACACCAACTTCCATTGGATCCGCATGGACCACGCAGGCAATTGGAGTCACAAGCCGGGCGGAACTCCCGTCCGCAACACGGAGCCTGGGCGTGGGGGCAGGGGTCGAGCTTGTGCATTTTAGCGAGTTTGAATGCAGGGGCAACCATCAGATGCTTGGATAATTGACGTGTAAACAGAATGGCATCTACTTGCATTTGTTTATCCATTCTTGTATTTGGGTGCTTAAGTCAGCTTCAGACTACAAATCACTGCTTTAACAAATGTGAACGTTTACAGTCAGTGTCCACAGTAGATGCACCTTAGAGAACATAGAGAAGTGAAGGATTCCGATGGAGTTTCTATCTTGGCTGTCTCGGATATTGAACTAAATGCAACTAAAATGACTCCCAATGTTCAGCCATGCAAAGTCGAGCACATGTGTTCAAGCAGTTGTTTGAGTTGTTTTCAATAGTAATTTGCACAACATGCCGAGAATAATCCCCCCTATTGCATTCATGACAGTTGTTTAGTGGCGTTTATACTGCCATCTACTGCCATCTAACATCATTCTACTGCCATTTCCGCATGGTTAGCTCCTAGTTGACCATTTCCCCGAGGACAACAAGGGACGTAAGATTCACGATCCATCGAAATCCGACTTCTCGCCTTGGTCGCAGTTTTGCGGATACATGCATGTGGTGCCAAGCATCCTGCCTACAGACTCAGGTGAGGTCTTAGTGACTTAGTGGTTCATGGTTTGTTGATGTTTGTTGTTTGTTTGGTAAGTTTGGTTAAATGAGATGAAATGAGTATCAACATGAATATAACATGAGAAATGAGTGGAAACTTGGGGATTCCATGGGATTCCAATCCAAAAACCAGCTTTGGGGCGAAGACTCCACCTGTTTCCAAGATACTCTCGATAGGTTAAGGATTCCAGGCAGATAATCATGTGATGTTTCCACCTGTTGTAGCTGAAGCTCACTTTATTTGCCATTGTTTAGATTCTTTGAGCATATGTTTGTTTATAGTGGAAATACCCTGATATTGTCATCTCATGCGCATTTTTTTTTGCGCAGATCTATGGCCCTGAAGCTGTAAAACAAAAACTACCTGCATTTTTTGCTGCCTGGTGCTTTCAAAATCATGTTTCATCATTCTGTTCATGACCTACTTGCAATGCATTCCATCATCGTTTCATCATGTTTCCAGCACTTGGATCATGGAAAATCCCCAGGTGTCAGTCCGATGGTTTGATGGTAAATTCAAAAATCACTTGGATGAATATTACCATAATATACCACAATCATGAAACTCTATATCACAATGTGATGGTAAATTCAAAATACCAGTCCCATAATCAAAATACCAGTCCCATAATTGTGATAATTTACTGGATAATTTTCATATTTATCACAATGTGATGGTAAATTCAAAATACCAGTCCCATCATCATGAAACATCATGAAACCCTATATTTCCATCCATCAGAATAAAAATGATGATCCCCTCAACGTTGATTCACAAAGTTTTCTCAGGCATGGTAAAGCCAGACCGGTTAAAGGAGGAGTAGCTGCTGGTCTAGATCCACAGTTCCTTCGGCCAGATCAGCGATGGTTTTCTTTCTTTGCTTTTAATGTGGTAAACCCAACAATACATAATCCCATTGACCAAGCATTTGCTGGTAATTTTACATAATCCCCTTGCTGTCTATTGAGGAGGGTTTATTTTCGGGTTCTTCACATTGGGTGTGAAATGGAATATGTTGGGATACAATGGGATATCATGTGTGATATATTTGACCAAGAATGTGATATCATATGAGATATGAGTGTGTCTGAAAATGCGAATACAACAAAGTTGCGATTTTTGGCAGGGATACTGATGATTTTCTACCTGAAAAATTGGCAATCATTCTTTGGGGTAATTTCGGGGTATCCCCTTTTTTCAGACAAACCGCAAAATAGAGATACCAGTGTCAGCAGCATCTTGCAAAAGAACTATACACATTATGCTGCTTGGTGGTTTGGAACATGAATTTTATTTTCCCCAATAGTTGGGATGATGATCCAATCTGACGAACTCATATTTTCAGACGGGTGGGTCAACCACCAAGCAGGATATGCCGTAAGTGAATATGTATCGAATAAGATCCCAAAAGCCAACCGGTCTTCATGTTCGAGGTTTGAGATCCCTTCGGTCAAACGTTTTTTTGGGAGTAGCCAGCAAGCTTGGGGGTGGGAAAGACTTGACAACACTCTGAGATCAGAATCTCATTGAATACAACATTGATGTTTATCCCAGTGAATTGGAGGGTTAACATCACGATTGCTGGGAGAAATGTTCGTATCAAAGTATAATATACACATATAGAAAAATGGAATATCGGCTCATCAGGTTGGGCTGTCGAGATTTTGCGGGAGATTTCCACGATGCGTGACACGTCCTTGGGAACACTGAACGGCTTGGCTGGAACCTTAGGCTTCTGGCCTTTTTTCGCGGTGTACAGATGTCGAACAATGTGCCGCTGAGTCTCAAAAACAAGACGAGCTAGCAAGTCATTATTCCAAAGGCGGTTTCAGGGTTGATATTGGATGTTATATATATATAATATGTATATATATAATATTGTATATATATATATATGTAATGTATATTTTTATATACACATGTAATGTATATATATATTGTATACATATATATATATATATATATATCGTATATATATTTATTGTATATATATATACATATGATATATATATATATATATACATGTAATGTGTATATATAATGCATATGTATATATAATGTGTATATATATATATATTGTGTATATATATATTATGTGTGTATATATATATATATAGACACTATATACTTCCTATACATATGCATGCATATATATATAAATACACATACATACATATACATACATATACATACATATACATACATATACATACATTTACAAAACTATATATATATGTATATTCATTTACAGACAAATATAGTTAAGCATATGCGTACATACAACTTATACACATAGGAACACTTCACTAAGCCTTTACCCACTGAAAGGAGCATCGCACATTTAAATGTGGTGGTTGCAAGTGCATTTTCATTTTTGCTGCACCTGCAGAACATTGCTACTATTGTTGAGGATCTTTCCGGATGAGTTGCACCAACCAGCAGCAGATTGCCATCGCCATGGTGATGAACATATTTTGCCAATTCTTAAATTGCCTTAGTTAGTCAAATGTTATACATTTTCAACATTTTTTGGGGGTCCTAAGTCATGGGGGTACCCCATTTTTTATCATAAATCATCCGTCGTCATGGATGACCATTTAGTATGGTGACGACTGGGATGATCCCGCACTCGTCGCCAGGAGTCTGCGATGTTGATGGTCCGGGAGACCCGGACGGGTGGCTGTTGGTTTTGTGGCAACTCGATGTGAATTTTCCATGTTGTAACGTAGTCATATGTATGACACACATGGATAATAATAGTCCAGCTACAATATGCTACTATTGTTTCTATATCGGTTATATGGGGATATATCTCAAAATGTCTGTATAATTGTGTATATATAAATATATATACACGGTTTTATATGTGGATTATAGTTATAATCCATTTACTAAGTGGGATGCACCCGCAAGCTATAGTTGGTGGGATGTCTCCCCAAGCGCAATTTCCACACATGAAAAAAACAATGAATAATTTTGATAAGCGAGGCTTAAACAAAAGGTTGTAGTAACAGTGACCTTTTCGGTTTGAGCAGGTACATTCTTTCTTATGTACGTTATATACGGATGCTTTTAATTATACGGATGATTGAGTTTGCGCGGCAACCGCTGTAGTCGTGCCGAAAATCACTGCAGCACTCCTTCTATGGCAAGATGCAGGAGTTTGGAGTTCAGATGGCAGTCGTCATGGATGACCATGACTTAGTATTGAAACAACCATGATGACTTGGGGATCCACCATGACTTAAGAAACCCCATATGTAATTTACAGTATATACAATAAGTATATATATATATTAATGTATACACCATTTTAATATAGATAGATTATCCCGTATTATCCCGTTTTAAGAACCCCCTTGTGGCCAACCATTGAGTTTCTTTTTCGCCAGGGGGTTTGGTGCCTGAGGCCATTGATAAGATGGTCTTTGAACACGTGGTGAAGGTGGGTTACCCGTGGCTGCTTCAATGGGAATCCATATCAACCGGAAACGGCTCACTTGGAGATCTGGAAACGGCTCGGTGGTCCCCAGTCAATATCTTGTTTCATACCCATTCATGTCCTATCCATTTTTATATTTTTGTCATCCCAGAAGTGGAAGGAACACCAAAAGGAACCCCCCCTGGTTTCATGTAGCTTTTCCACTCAATTGTCCACGGAATATCATGTATATTTGTTCAAAAATCGATGTGCAAAGTTAAATAACAATTTTCCAGCATTGTTTTCTATCGTTTCTCAACAGGGTACCACTGTCATGGTTTCCTGCAACTTGTCGCATGGTCAAATGCCAGTGGTCAACTGTTTTTCCCAAGTTTTCCCATGGTTTTCCCATGGTCGCCATGGCGGATGACGACTCGGCGCCGTTTCTCCAGCGTGAGGAACGCGTCTTTGCGCAGCTCCAGGATCAGCTTCAGCTCAGGCGATGGGAGAAATGTTCCAACGCTCAGCTTGGAGGGTTGGAGGAAGTGTTGACGGCAACTGGTTGGTGGTTTGGAACATGGCTTTTATTTTCCATAATATATGGGATGTCATCCTTCCCATTGACTAATTTTTTTCAAGCTGGTTGAAACCACCACCCAGACAACGACATAGATCTGAATTATATATATATATGTATAATTCCTTCCCCCTAGTACTAAACCCCCTCCAAATAATAAAAACTAGGGTCCATCTCTAATTTTGGAAAATTTCAGGTTGGCCAATTTGACTTTTAATTGATCCCCTTTAGAAAACAATTAAAAAATGAAGCTACCATTTGTGGGCTTCGCCCCCTAAGAATAAAAACTAGTCAACCCCGGGGTGTTTATTATTAGGGTTCGTCCGATTTTTTTTGTTTTTTGTATTAGGGCTTTTAACTTATTATTAGGGCCCGCTTCGAAAACCTATTTTTGGCATATTTTATATAATTGCGTTATATAAGGAAATTTGATTCATTTTGAAATCGTTTCTATTTTTATTATTATTTATTATTATTATTAAGGTTTTGAATTTATTAATAGGGTTCCCTAATAATAAATACCCCTTAATAATAGAAACTACCTGAGGTGTTTATTATTTGGGGAGGGGGGGTTTAGTATTAGGGGGGAGGGATTATAGTGTACACAGTATATATATATATAGATATACTGTATATATTAATATACATATATCATTGTATGATGTTATGTGTATATATATATATATAATTACTAGCATATGTAGAGGGATAGTTTGTTATTCTATGTATTATATTCTATTACATATTACACGGACTGCATGGTTTTTTGAGCCATGCGCTTGCGTCAAACCAGCTCGGCAGATCAACAAAGCAGATCCATAGGACGAGTCCAGCAATGTCCAGCTAAAATGGATCTATACATAGTAAGTGGGTGGTACCTTATACTGTCACCTGAAGATCGATTTGTAGTTACAAGCTAGAAAGTAGCTTATATTATACGTGTATATATATACACAAGGCTATTCTCAGTGATCAAACATGGCTAGGAAATCCCATAAATGTTTGAATTGGAAGTTCATCTACAAAAATCGGATGTTTATTTTCCACCTCTGTAAGGGTATACCTTCTAGCCTATTTACATCGATTTTTATCCGTGGCACGTTTTTAGTGGATTATCCCCTGTGAATTTTGTGATGCCAAGTCAGCCAGGCGCATGGATATTGAAATGGCTGACCTTCATGAGATCTCCACATTGGGCTATGGAACCTTTGGCATCGTGCGGGAACCCAAAAATTCCTTGTAAGGCGCGACAGCTGCTGATTCACCCTAACTTCGTTGTATAGTCAACTATGGTAATGCAGGGATCTTAATCATTCAGGAGCCATACAATCCAAAGGCCAAAGTATCAATCCTTGGTATTACTTGGTATGTTTGAATGGTATAGAACTTATAAAACCATGGCTTTCCTTATAGAACTTGTCCCTTCCATCCAGGATTTTGATTCCCTTTTTGACCATTCCTGGAGATTCTTGGACCAGTTATCCACAGCGATCTTCGATGGTCCCATTGGTTGGTGAGAAACAATACTACCCTCTGGTAGTTTTAGACTTTGCTATGGAAACACCGTGTTTATATATATATATAAACATCCTCCAAAATCATGAATTTTTCATGGGCCATCTATACCGCACTTGTTTGTAGCATTTTGTAGCTGTGTAACAAACCACCAGAAGGTGATAGAACGTACTCATACAAGGTGGGCTCCCTCAGTTATGTTTGTTGATTTGTAACCCACCTGAGCTAGTTCGTGAAAACTATCCCACAAATCATAGAATGATCCTAGTGAACTAAACCAACTTCGCTATCACATATCAGCTGCAAATCCCATGAAGTTCCCATTTTTCCTCGTTGAATCCATGGTTTTTTGCTGATTTTTTGCTGCTTGACTTGTTCCATCCATGTTTTGCTGGTCGAATCCCCATTTTTTGCAGGTGAAATCCCCGGAAGAATCCCAGGTCCGGCTGGTTGAGCACCATCCCTCAGGAGCCAGGCGATTTGATGGGTTTTTTCGCTGCTTTGGCGATATGTTGGGTAATAAAATATGGGTTAACTTATAAGATTAATATGATCACATGAGTAACTGACTGGTGCTTGGTGCGGAAAAAAATGATCACAATCCCATGTTTTTTTGTCATTCCCATTGTTGATTGGAATGGATTGAATGGATGATGATTAATTTACTGCTGCTAAACGCAGGGAATTTCCGGAATGATCCATAATCACTTTGTTTTTATAATCCCAGATATCCCAGGAACCCCCAGCAACCCATCCATTCCCTACTAAGCAACAGTAAGTTAATCATGGGTTGGAATAGGTAGTGTATAATAATAGGTTAATAATATGACTTAAGTATAATCTTATGTATCTAGCTATATGGCTTGATAATGGCTTATAATACTCATCTGTTTGATGGGATTATTATAAGCCAGGGCCTAGGAAAACTTATTATACTCATCTGTTTGATGGGATTATTATAAGCCAGGGCCTAGGAAAAACTGGTTTTCATGCTAGTAGAATGAGATATATGAGATGGGGTAGGAGATGTTTTTCCATGGCTCAAGAAAGGGTTTGTCGAAATTTCGGGTACCCAAATCCAATGGATGATCATGGATTAGAACCGAAAAAATCGCGTTTGGAATGACTATTTTTGAGGTATCTCCATTTTCAAACACACCCATTTCAGTTGCAGTATATCCGTTGACTAACATTATTTACTATATATAAGATATAGTTATGGTAATAGTAAATCATCCTCAATGTTACCATAGATGGCTGGTATTCACCATCAACATATGGTGGTTTTATAATTGCTTTACTAACAGTAGCTGGGTGTATATCAGTTACACACATTTACAAGTTACCCTGCCATGCAGCTATGCCATATGACAAGTTATATAATTACCAACTAATAAAGGTTTTATAGTGCTGTATAGCACTGTCTAAGTCACAAAAACTGGTGCGTTCTTTGCGTGTACTGTATAGTGGAAAGCTTACACAAACATGACCATAAAATTGCCATAAGACCAGAGAGCTGCACCTAGGGACATGGCGGGTGTATGTCCTTAAAGCGCTCTGGGTAAAAGAAACGCAATTTCCCTTGCACTTACACCATGAAACTTTGATAAACCATAAGTGAAACTGGGGGTGTTGATCGTTTTGATTGATTTTTCCCGCAAAAACTGGTTCCAGAAGTTCAACGTCCAACGTGTTTCAAAAGCAGGAACAAAAGCATCTCAAAGACAGGAGTTTTGGAACTGTGAGTCACCTGGTTCGATCTTGTCCGCAAGATTCAGGAACTTTGAGCAACCAACAGTAGCTGTATCTTTCTGTATCCATGTTCGAGAATGTTCGAATCTTACATGCACAGCGCAAACGCAGCAAAGATAACATATTCAAACCCAGGACAAGACTGTAGATGGACCCAGGCAGTCACACAGTTAGGAAAGCATCATTATGTGTTTCCAGGAGTGCAGGTGCATGTACATACATGTCAGATCATGTCATGTATATATATATATATATATATATGTAATGTGTAAGTATACATACAGATCTTATATCATATTATATCATATTATATTGTATTATATTATATTATATTCCTGAACATATATGCCAACCCCAGACAACCTGGCTCGCCCAAAGTCACAGAATGAACATTGGAAACTGCCCCAAAAATCATGATTTTGCATCTTGAAATATTTGGATGGATGAACATCAAGTTGTTTATGCTATTTTGATGTTCACCAGAATGCCAGAGTTGGTGGAATCCAGTTTTTATGTCTCAGGGCTTGATTTCAAGAAATCTTACCCTCTGGTAAACTAACATAACTATGGAAACTCACCATTTTCAATGGGAAAATCCACTATAAATATCTATAAATAGTCATTTTCAATAGCTATTTTGACATAACCAGAGGGTAAGCACATTCATGGTATATTTTTGATTTTGGGATCATTCTTTTCACGCCCCGACCCCCGGCTTCGTGGTGGGTCCGCAGCAAAAACGACGTCAGATATGCCTTGAAGTGTATCAGTCGAACAGAGGTTGACGAGTTGGGGAGTTGGCCGAGTTGGCCCTGCAGGGAAATGTTTTGTATGTTTTGGGCACCAGAAATGAGATAGCTTTTTGGACTCAGAAATTGTGTGTTTCTTTAGGTACGCTCTGATAATTTGACACAGCCGTGGAAGATGACTCAATTGTATACATGATTTATCTATACTAAACATTGCTACACATTGCTAAAGAAGGCTGTTTCCCATGGGTATGTTGGAGTACCAGAGAGTACAGTAAACCTTCAATTTTGGGAGTTAATTACATTAGAAATTAGGGTCATTAGAGTCATTCCAGTGATGAGTAGAAAGCCGCCAGCATTGGATGCAACAGATATAGAATGGTGGTACTCCGACGTTGCTGGTATCACGATGATGGAATGATCCTCATGTTCCTGGCCATGTACCATGTGCATGTGTTTGTCCCAAATTTAAAGCCCCAAATGTTGTTCATATTCACATCTTGCGCGATGAAGTTTTATGGGTACCTGGATCACCACCCGTGAATAGAAATGTTTAGAACTGCCACCCATTTTGTTGTTCAGTACTCTTCATCTGTTTTCCCCTTGTTATGTGGATGTTTCAACTTGCAGTACATTCCCCAAGATAAACATGTTTTTTACCGCTATTTCAGTATGACTTGACTGACTTGACTTTCTTATTTTTTCGGGACGGCTACAACTACGACACTATGATATATTATATTACATGCAATGTATGTATGATACATGTATACAGTATATATGTATGATATATGTATACAATGGTATGTATGATATATGTATCTATGATATATTATATTACTATGATCTACATACAATATACTTCTTCATTTGTCGTCTCTTCTTCAGGCGGTGGCACGAAGGCAACAAACCAGCATTTGCACTGAGCGGGAGATTCTCACGGACGTGGCCCGGAAACTCAATCAAGTGATACACCCAGATCCTAAAAGGGACGTCTATCGGTCATGTAGATGTATGATGATGTTAGAATATGTTGGATGGGATGTGATTCAATGACCGATAGACTAACTTATGTGTTGGAACATCAATTTTCTCTTGCTGATTCAGTATGTGATTCACGTGTGCAGAACACAATCAGAGTGTTTTTCAGTCGTAGGGCCATATGGCCGCGGCCGGGAAAGGTGAGACTTCCTCGATTCAGTTGGATCGTCCCAGCTACCACATGTTTGTACTGCTGGTCAGTTTTCACAGATTGCTATGGCTGCTATGGGAAAAGTCCATCGAAAGTCCATGATTTGGCTATTAACCACGGTGATTTCCCGTGTGAGCTGGTGATTTCATGACTACTACATCTCCTTTGGGACAATTCTATGAGCCATTGGTCAACCATCATGTAGGGGCCTGCATCTTTACTTTGAAGGCTTCTCGGCAGTTTGGCCTCACTACCAAGGATCATCCTTTCATTCTGAAGCTTGTGCAGACTTTCAAAGATCGCAGGCCGGACAGTGCAACGTTTGTTAGCACTTAGAATCAGAACTGATCTTGCAATCGTAGCTCACTTGAACTTGTCGGTGGTTAAACAAGTTCCTATATTTGAATCAGTTCTAACAGGACAGAAACCTTAATTGTCTCTCCGTTGTTTCATCATGCAAAGAATCTTGCAGCATCATTCGCTTGAATCTTGAGACTAATTTGCATTGTCATGACTGGCCAACAATGATTCGTAAATTGTTTTAAGCGAAAATCGATAGAGAACCAATCAATTTGACACAAAAAAGTAATGGGAATAACATGTAAAAAGTAGTTTGCTTCCTGGCAGATCTTCCCTTCCCAACCAGCAAACAACTACCCCACATCCATCGCAGTGTCAACAAATGTGCCATGGTCAACACATGCTTAGCCACAAGCGGCTCTAACCTGCCCGTGGTAGTGGCTGCTAGGGTCACTGAGGGTTGGTCCACCGATAGAGCCATGGATCTACAGCAGTCTGGAGTTCACGATGACATTTTGAGTATTCTTTCACATTACTGCCTTCAACCTTCGATCTGTTCATGTCTCCGAACTGTGAGTGTTGCTTTGCAGATTCACGATGTGAAGATTATCTCTCATGATTTTACAATGGTGGATTGTTCGATTGTCGTGCCTCCTGGATTTGCTCCAAATGAGTTCATGGGATTTTCTTTGAACCCTTGTACGTGTGACGAAGCCAGAATCAAACATGTGCGTGTCAAGTTCACGGCTGTTCAGTGGGATGCTTGTGTCCAACATCATGATCAGGTCCTTGTCATTTGCGGAGATTTCTCTCAGGGTTTACTCACAACTGATGCTCAGGAATGTGGTGTAATTCCGGTGAATGAACAGCCGAGAAACCATGGAGATGAAAACACTGTTTTTATGGCAGAGGTCTTTGCAGGTGGCTTTGGCGGTTGGAGTCATGCAGTGAATGCTCTAAATCAAATTGGGGGAAGCATTAGGCGTCTTTGGGCCATTGACAGAGACCCAGAATGTGCTTTTAGGTTTGCAAAGTCTCATGATGTCACACATGTTTGCGATGGCCCCAGACAGTGCTGGCAACAATGCAATGAGATGAATCATGACAAGTCAACCTCCTTTTTCTTGATCTCGAACTTGAAATTCTTGTGGTGGACTCCTTTGATGAGGGTTCAGGGGTTGGACATTTGGGCGACATCTCCTCCATGCCCTGCTTGGAGCTTGGCGAACTCACCTCCAGGCTTTGCACGTGCGGACGGTCTGATCTTAGTCAATCTGATTGGATTAGTCGCAGCATGTCGTCCAAAGGTGTTGCTGGTTGAGAACGTGTCAGGAATGAAGGCTCACAAACATTTTCCTCTGATTCTTGCGTTGTTGAGATGGGCAGGATACGCAGTGAAACACAGTGGATGTTCGGATGTTGGACAAGTGATGCCGCAACACCGTGACCGTCTCACCATAATTGCCATCAAGATAGGAAACATTGACATGTTTGCTCACATACCCAAAGCATGGCCAGTTGACACCAAACCATCTTTGGGATCTCATCATGTTATTGTTTTTGGGCCTCACCCATGGGATGCTGAAGTGACTCTGAGTGCAAATGAACTCAAGGTGTACATGAACCCAAATCATTTGCCGAAGCATGTCTTTACCAATGGGCACTCAAAGAGGACCACCCGGGACCTCATGAAATATCGTGTCAGGACATTGAATGATCAAGCGTCATGTTTTTCGACGTCGTATGGTTTGCCAGAGGACCTTGATCCAAGCTTGTTGCGAGATGGTGGGGTTTTAGGATCACTATTTTTGTGTGGCACCACTTTGAGGAAGTTTGCTCCAGTTGAAATCGCTCTCATGCACGCCATCATGACCGCCACATGGATTCCAAGGGACTGGAAAGCCGCCATGGTCACGCTAGGGAATGCAATCACGGTCCCACACGCCGTGCTGGCAATCATTAATGGTGTCATGTTTGTTTGTCGTGACATGTTCATGTATGGGGTTGCTGAAACCTTTTCCAGAGTCATGAAGTACAGGTTGCAGGCAGAAGAGGTCGTGTTTGAAGCTGATGAACATGGTATTGTCATCAAGAGGAGAGAGATTGCATTGACCCTTGCAATTTCACCAACGCAGCCTTTTAGATGTATTGCACGCCTGACAATCGCATCACCCACAGATCAGTTTGTGGTCTGGTGCGAAGAAGGCCTTGACATTCATGAGGTGTTGTCGGTTTTGACAGGACCATCCATGCCTGCATGCATTGACATTTGCCCGAATCATGTTGAAGAGTTCCGTATCCCTGTTGCCGGAGATTTTCGCATGTTAAAACATGACACAACTTTACATGCTGCAGTCCCATCGGCCATGATTCTCCAAGAGAAAATGTTTGCCACGAAACTTTGTGATCGGTCAATTGCTTGCTTTCTCACTGAGTTTGGGGTCGTGGCAGTCCGTGCGCACGGTGAAATCCTGGTTGATGATATTGAGATGGTCATCGATCACCTTGGCTGGTATCAACATGAGCATGTTGCGTGCACGTCCTTGGTTGACCGTCCTTTGCAATCGCAAGATGTCTGTCCATTACTCACCATTGTCATGCCGGAAGTTCACCTTGACAATATGGATGAGGTTGAGATTGTACAAGTTTCTCATCAATTCCTTGCTGTTCCACAGGGTTTTGTCATGAAGGGTTCAGAACAAGCAATGAATCGTGCCTTGAACTTCCTGAGGCAAGCGAAATTGATCACATTCGTCAAGTGCTTTGGATGGCATTTTTCCGTGGATATTCCTCGCACACCTCAGCCAGAGGTTTTGGAATTGCATTTGACCAGAATGCCCGGAGTGTTGGCAGTTCTACAGAGTGCCATGAGACAATTGATTGAATCACGTGTTTTCGCCTTTTTGCTGGATTTGAGGGTCCTACCTTTGGGAGTGGATGTTTTTGTCCGGATTAAACTGTGGGACACGTGGATTTGGCACGGTGAAATGAGCTCTGACACAAAGGGAGAAGTTGTCACTAAAGCGTGGTTAGACGCTTCTGGTCTTTTTGGGAATCAGGCTGAGATGAGACTCATCATCTGTGGGAGTAGAGCAAATCCAGACTTTCCCATCAGTGTTTATGCAAAACCCACTGAGTCAGGTCTGAGAGCTGACATCCATTTGGTCCTGCAACTTCATGGAGGCGGCCCCCATCAATCCGTTTCGTCCGGCTCCGAAGAAGATGGAAATGCAGTCACCGGATCTGAAGTGCAGGTTGGAAACCATCAGAACTCTTCTTCGATCGACTATGTACATCAAGCGGTGTCCAACCTGTTGTCTCGTCAAATCCATGATCGTCAGTTCTTTGTGGAATGCATTCATGATTGTAAACTTGTCCAGGCAGATGGCTTTGCATATGTTCAGGATGAAGTTTCCAATCTGATTTCACTCATGCAATTCTTGAGACACTCTGGTATTGAAGACGTGTTGAATGCTGAAGGATGGCACTGCCTTTTACAGTTCTGCAGGTTTGAGGGTCCAGTTGTCACACGTATGGTCATTGTCCCAATTCCGCAGATTGAGCCTATCCCTTTGCCGAGCATCGTCTCCGTCCTGGTCTCATGCCTGTTTGTCCTGTCTTTCCCGCCACCCATGATTCAACGACAAGGGTCTGTCAAGGTTGAGGTTAAGCTGGATAGGCATTGGATTGACCTTGGATGGATCGATGGGTCACAAGTCTGTGAAACTTTGATCAACGATTGGTACGAGATTACAACTTTTGCAGGAAGCCCATCCAACATGCGCATGATCTGCCGTGGCAAACGTGTGAACATTGATCGTTCAATTTCGGATTATGCTTCTCTTGACTCTGACGGGGTGTTGAAAGCCAGGTTTTTCTTCGTCCTTGAGCTCAGAGGCGGAGGAAAAGCGCCAAAGCCGGAGGTTCAAGTCAAAGTGAAAAATGCTATCGCCTCGTGCTTGCTTTCACATGGTGCTGACCTCACTCCAGTGTCGAAATTCGTGGACAAATTGATTCACTCGGCAGGTTTTCAAACTGTTCAGGTCATTGCCAACATGACAAACCCAGTTGCCAAGCTTGATGCCATTCAAAAGTTAGGTCACACCTTGAACATCGAGACACCGCCAACAAACAAGGCCGCAGCCAGTCGACAGCAATCTCAGCCAAAAAGACCTTCTGCTGGTAAACAGGACTTTCCTGCGACCTGCTTTCAGATTCAGGAGGGCTTCTTCAGAAATGCTAATGGGTCGGCTTGCAAACAGGTTGATGATATTCAAACCGGATCACATGGGATCGTTCTGTTGTCCCCAAAAGATGCGACTTTGTGGCTCCAGAGCCACAAGAGCGTCAGCACAGATGAATTGGGAGTTTTGGTGCTTGGATCATGCCCGATACAAGGATCATGTCACTGCAATCCTGTGAACACACTTGCAATTGGACCACATGGTGCACCGGTCATCCTTTCCACATGCTTGCATAACTTGGGAGATTCCAAAATCAGCTGGCAAACAAGTGCGAAGGCGGACATTCAGGTGACATCGACGGTTGTTGTTGCGGTCACATGTTTTCAGGATGAAGTGTCGCAGCAAACATGGTCCAAGGTCAAACAAAGTCCGGTCAAAGCATGTCTTGAGATTTTGACAGGGTCTGGAGTCAACGTCAACGTTGTGTGTCCGCCTTGGGGCCGTTCTTGGCGCGAAGATCAGTCGGGCCATGACAGTCTCCAATTTCATTGTAGAATAGATACTGCCTCTCTGCATACCTTACTCAAGGTCTCAGGTCAACAGGGGGTCTATGTTTCAGCCAAGACTGAATCTCAGACAATTGATACACAATATGCAATTATTTGGCTGGACCAGCCACCACAGGAATTGCGTGTGACACTTGCCACATGTACAGGGCACTTAGGCCTGATTCGAATTGACAAAGCCAGAGGAAAGAAGACAAATCGTGGCATCCGATGCCTTGTCGCTGACCATGATAGGCTTTTCAAACTCCTCAAGCC